CGTAAGTCAAATGACTATAGGGTATCAGATTTTCAAATAGTCAGCATGCTTAATTACTCAAATCATAACGACTACGAAGAGAAGTATAAGATGTATTGAAATTCAAATCTTTTTGGAACTCGCAACAGTTTTCTTTCTGAGGGACCATACAAGAGCTTAGGTCAGCTAGTTAAAGGTCATCTCACCACATTGATGACTGTCATCCCAATTCCTACATACGCAATCAAGATTCACTAGCAAGAATTTAATGTGTGCAGTTCAGATGATATATGAAGTAACTTATACCAAGTACTCCAAACAAGCTCTAAACAAAGATGATGAAAATTTTATTTAGCATTTATTAATTTTAGTAGTACTTGATCACAAGATAACATGTCCAATCACTTTAAAACGTTATAGCATCAAAAATCTTTTTCCCCTTTTTCAATATTTTTTTATTTTATAAATCAAATAATGCAAAACAAATGTGACAAGGAAAAAGTTAGAGTGCATACATTAATAGTTAGATATCATGAACAATGCAAATACATACACCTCTAGACTTGCTCAATGAGGTATACAAACACTCTTACCTTGAATAGCAACGCAAGAAACACTGCAATTTATAACATCATTTTGACTAAAGAGTTAACCCTTTGTGACCTAAATCTTCTTAAAAGAAGATGTTATCTTCGTCAAATAGCTTATCATATTAGTCAAGTGACTCACTTGGTTAGTCAAGAATCTAACATGAGTAGTGAGATTTTGTTTGTTGTTCCTAAACAAGGACTTACGACACCTAAGCCTTATGTGACCTAACTCACCACAATTGTGGCAAGCGGGAATGGACCTGGGAATAATTATAGGTCTCAAGCAAACTTAATTTTAGAAGAGGGAGCGGTATGAGAATTTGTTTCATTATAGCCTAAATGTCTCGTATTCCCAGCTAGTTTATTCAATCCTAACATGTTGTCAAGCTTCTTAGATCCATTAGAAAAGGATGAAGTTGGACAATAGATTTCTCAAGATCACTAGTAAGAGTCTTAACTTTAATTTCTAATGACTCTTCTGAACCCTCAACTCATTTAATATTCTAGTTCAATTCTCAAGTTTGACTTCTAAGCTCTCTTTTTCTAACTCCAATTCATGTAATTTCTTAAAAAGTAGAGCTACTAACTTTCTTCAACTTAAGGTTCTCCTTAAATAGCTAGTCAAACGCCTCATAAATATCCTTCTCATCTTCTTATTCTTCCTATGAAGAGTCAGATTTCTCTATGTCTTCAAGTCTCTCATTCTCCTTTACATGTTTACTCTTAACCAAGAGGCAAACGCCATCCAAATTCACACCCTCATCCGAATAAGAGTTCTCACTATCATCATTAGAGCTAGATTCATTATCAGTGAGATTAGCATTCATAGCCTTACCTAAGGTTTTTTTTATAACTAGGGCACTCGGCTTTAACATTTCCAAAACCCTGACACTCATAATACCTCACAAATTGAGACCTCTTCCTAGCATCTCTAGTATTACTCTTCTCTCTTTTGTCTTTCTTATATTTACTAGAGTTACTCTTTTACTTCTTGGAATATCTCATATTATTCCTAAAGAATTTATTACATTTCTTAACAAAGTAAGCAAACTCATCATCCTTTAGGATGTCATTATGAGTCTGATCACTAGTCTTTTCCTTAACGGTGTTTAGAGCTAAAGACTTATTTTTCTTAGACTAGAGTAGGCTGAGTTCATAGGTTTGGAAAGACCCTATTAGTTCTTCTATCTTAATAGCATCTAGGTCTTTGCCTTCCTCAATAATTGTGACCTTAGGTCTAAATCTTTCAAGTAGAGATCTCATCACTTTCTCAAATTCTTTGTCTCGAAAATTCGTTAACCTAGGTTGAAAATAGAGTTCACTATGTCATGTAGTTTTGCATAGAACTCATCGAAGCATTTATCATCTTTCATCATCATTTCATTAAACGTAGTTGTCAACATATGTAGTTTAGAGTTTTTTCACATTCTTAATTCCCTCATGTGTGATTTCTAGAATATCATAAACTTCTTTAGGAGTCTTGTACATGAACACTCGTTTAAACTCTTCTAAGGAAATAGCCATAAAGATAGCATGGACACCTCTACTATTTCAATTACACTCGACTAAACCATCCTTAATCCAAGTAGAGATATCTGTAGGTGTAATAACACTAGCAACAGATGTAGATGGGACAGTCCAACCCTTTTCTACACTAACACAAACTCGTTCATTCATAGACTTTAAAAAAGCTATCATCCTAACCTTTTAGTAAGCATAATTGCTTCTATCAAAATACGGAAAAACGGAAAAAGTGATTGACTCATCTAAACAAAATTGGGTCAAGGATCGAATTATGCTCTGATACAAATTACAAATAGTAATGACCGATGGTTAGACCCAACAACACCTAGAGGGTAAATGAATTGGTGTATAATGCAGAATTAAAATTAACAAACAATAATATGCAACAAGTCACAAATTATTGTCTCTAGATGATTATTAATGTCAATTTAAATCATAATTATCAATCAAGCATATAGATATCAAAATATAAAAGTAAATCAACACCAGATATATTTACGAAGAAAAATCCTTGAAAAACTCTTCACATCGATAAAAAATCACTGGACAAACCTACCAAAATGATCCATTAGAAAAAATAACTAACAGTTGGTCTAGACACAACTAAATATTAGTAGACTCTGACCACCCAACTTGTAAATCACATAAGAACCTCTTCGATTGCGCCTCTAACACTTTCTAGCAACTCTAAACTTCTTTTCCCACAGTGTAGATCACCAAAAACGAATCTCATTCTTCTCCAACTGGAACTCCAGATGCCTCTATCCAACTTTAGAACTCTAAAGGATTATTGGTAAAAGATTTTATGTTTGATCTTGTGGTTGATGCAAGAGATTTATGGAATGTGTTTGATCTAGGATGTTGTAACCCTAATTCCGCGTGAAGTGTTTTCAATTGTTCATAAAATCTTAGACTAGTTATGGTAAACTCTCATTGATGGATTGTTTGTGTAAGACTTTATTTTCTTGTGGAAATTCCTCAAGATTTTTCCTAATTTCTTGATATCCTCTCTTTATTTTTAGGGATTAATAAAGCATTTAGGGATTGATGTGGCAATTAATTTACAAAATTGATTTTTCTAGAGGTGGTTGTTGCAAGCCTCAGGGCCTCGTCCCACCATCCTAGTGGAGAAGGGTTCAGCGCAGGATTTGACACCACCACTTACTACTTCGAAGGCCGTAAGGGATGACGTAGTATTTTAGTGTAAGATTTAACACCACTACTTACTACTTCGAAGGCCATAAGGGATGACGTAGTATTTCATTGAGCGAAGTTTGTGGTTCAATTCTTTCCAGGCGAACAAAGACTATAGGGGAACATGTGATATGCTGACACTTGCTCACGTGGTTCAATTATTTTGGGTTTGACACATTTACCCTTCAAATAAAGCGAAATAAGAGAAATTGAAGTCCAGGCGCAAATAAATGGGTTTTTTGGTTGGAATCCTTCCAAAAGGCCCTATTATGCCAAAAATGAAAAAGTTTGGGACCATGAATGCCAAGTTTGAAAGGTTTGGACCAACAACTTAAGATGTGCAAACATTTAGGACCATTTATGCCAACTTTCCTTTTCTTATCGAAAATGTGTAATTTTTTGGAAAGACACCACTCTATTGGGTAAAAATATATGAACTATGCTACAAGTACATAATCATTTACATAATACATTACATAATTGACATGTGGCGCGCATCCATCGGTAGTCTACAATTTTTAACTTTTCCACACTTAACATCCACAGCCGGATTTCTTCCACATGGACCTTTATGCCAACTTTCCTTTTCTTATCGAAAATGTGTAATTTTTTGGAAAGACACCACTCTATTGGGTAAAAATATATGAACTATGCTACAAGTACATAATCATTTACATAATACATTACATAATTGACATGTGATGCGCATCCATCTGTAGTCTACAATTTTTTACTTTTCCACACTTTACATCCACGGTCGGATTTCCTCCACATTGGCCTATGTAATCAATTATGTACAACAATTATGTACATATAAATTTATCCAAGATATATTCATAGCACAGATCACATTTTAATTATCAAATTATAGTAATTAGAAATGAGTTGGTATCATTTATGTCTTTAACTTTTTTCGATACATTCTTTTATTCAACATTTGATGAATGAGCAAATCTCGTCTTCAATAACGATTCCGTTTCGAGGATATAAAATGATCTATTTGTCCATAAGTGCGACAAAATATATTTCCCTAATTTTAAAGCGAGAATATATAATATTTTAACAAAAATCATCAATAAGGACGAGATGTATTAATTAGAGTGGTTGAAAATAGAATTCGATTTTTTTAAAAAAAAAGTTAATACACAAGTGCAACAATGAAAAAAAAATTGAGGAGATTAAGTACAATTAAACAACTCATTCAAATTGCGTGAATATAATTTACCATTCCCTATTTAGCCTTGGTTTGGGAAGAAATATAAACGTTTTAAATTATAAATAAATGATATATAAGATATACTAATTGTGAATCTATTGAAATATATAATTGAAAATAAGTTAAGCATTTATAAATGATATATTTTTTTTTTCCAAACAGAGGCTTAATCATTAAGTTTGAAATCAATGTTCTCCATGATTAATTTATTGATGATTCTTTAGTCGAGTACTTGTGAAATGATAGTGAGAATGAGAATAATGAATATGTGCTGTAATTACTAATTAGGACTGGAAAGAAAATGAGTACTAATATTACTTTTTCTATTCAAAACTTTTGTACATATTCTCAGTCAAACTACCAGTATTATTTCAAACCTCATCTGGCAAACTAATCAGAGCAACAAGCCACTAGAAATCAAAATAATCAGTAGAGAAGAAAAGAATATATGATCAAAACCTTACATGTACATAGGCAAACCAACATAGTTCTAAATCCTAAGAAGCAGCTTGTTGAGCATGGATTTGGGCCGGTGAAAATGAAAATAATTTAGGGTTAGCAAGAGATAGTCCCATACTAGATGAAGTCATGCCGCCGGCAGAGGCAATAGCGGTGGAAGGAGAGGCGGCAGCGGCGGAGGTGGTGGTGGTGGATACTCGTTCACAAGAGGGACACATTGAGAGGGTTGTTGCAGGGAGCTGCATGTAGAAAGGCTGAGAGGCTTTTAGGGTTCTTAATTCTTGAAGCTCCTTTTGTAGCCTCCTATTTTCTTCTGTTAACGTCTCACAGCAGCTCTTCAAATACTCACAATCTACCTCAGTCTGCTTCAACTTGGTCCTGCATGGAAATCATTAATTAGTGTACTAAACAATAATTGTTTCATTAAATTTTCACGAGAACCAACAGATGTTTTCTGAACAAAAACATTTTTTTTTTTTTTTTTGAAACACGGTACCTAGCTCTTCTGTTCTGGAACCACACTTCTACTTGGCGAGGACGAAGATTCAGCTGCTTTGCTAGAGCAAGCTTCTGTTTCTGCAAATATCAATGAAGAGATATGTATAATCAGTTAAAATCCAGCTACTATCCATATGCCACATGGAATATAAGCCGTTCACATACACACACAGAGATCGAGATTGTTAATCATAAATTCCTACTTCGATAAACAACAAACATACAAGGCTTGGGATACTCCAATATAACAAGGTTGATCTCAGGTGGAACGCCAAATAACCCTTTTAAGCTCAAACAAGCAATCTGATCCATCTAAAACTTAAACACCTGGATTTCAAGATTCGTGTAATCAAACAAGCCACCGGCTTGCAAAAACTGTTAAGGTAAAATCTGTCATGGATTAAATATCAAAATAATACACAGTAAACATACAAGGCTTGGGATACTCCAATATAACAAGGTTGATCTCAGGTGGAACGCCAAATAACCCTTTTAAGCTCAAACAAGCAATCTGATCCATCTAAAACTTAAACACCTGGATTTCAAGATTCGTGTGCTCAAACAAGCCACCGGCTTGCAAAAAATGTTAAGGTAAAATCTGTCATGGATTAAATATCAAAATAATACACAGGGGCTTCGAACTTTTATAAGGAACCAAGTCTTGAAGGACAAAACATCATAGCTCATAACAAAAGAGACAAGAAAAACATCGCAGTATATACGCTTACAGGGTTGAGAGTGCTTTGTTCTTTGAAGCTTTCTTCAAGAAAAGCAGACTGTTCTTTAGTGAGTCTAAGTTTTTTCCTGGCCATACTATTTTCTTCATCGTCACTTGCCCTTGAAGAAGCCCCTCTATCTGCATCAACTTCAAGTGTTACTGTTTCAAAATCTCTTTTTCCCCTTCCATTTCTGTAGACTGAAAAGTCCATCTGAAATGATGAGACTGTACTATTTGGAGATGAAATCCCCATGGCTTCCTCAGCCTCCTCCACCCCTCGAATCCTCCGGTTTACGTTCCCCGGTTCAACAGCCACTATACAAAACAGAAAAATCTCGAAAGATTAAGACCCGTGAAGAAAAAAATAAAACCAGTAATCTTAACATCTGCATAAAAAACAGAAATTTCTAGACTACGACGAAGAACAAAGAACTTTACAATTTTCATTCAGCCATGGAAAATGAAGCTTATCGAAGGAAGTTTGACTCCTAGGAACAGGAGAGAAGGGCATAAGATCAAGCTGAATCGGTAGATCTGAATCTGATGAGACTTTGCCTCTGGTTCTAGCTTCAGCACTTGTCTCGCCCAAGGCCATGCAGAACCGTATATCATTCCCAGCAATCTTCTGTGATTTGTCAAGAAATGTGAATGGCTTAGGTGTTTCCCCTAAACTCAAAGCCAAATCCATCTATGCCGAGAGAGAGGGAGAGAGCAGAAGGAAGATAAAATTTTGATGGAAATGAGTTATGGATTAAAGGGAGCCCATCCCAGAGAATTTAAACCAAGTCCACTGATTGAAATCTTGAATAGACTAAAGAAAAATGAAAATGAAAAACCTCACAGCTTCATCTGACAAAGTGCTTTTAATATGATTTGGTTTTGTGCAAGTAAAGGTTGACAGAAAATCCAGGGTTGACAAAGCGCACGTGAATTCACATAAATATACAGTGTTTCATACATATGACTCTGCTAGAGTGTCTTATATGAGGAACAAGTGGGATTCAATCTGTCTTGACAATTATGTCCATGTTTGGTAAATATTAGATGCAAGCCCATTTTGTATCACGCGTTCGATTAAAAAATGTTATTTTTCATAAAATAAATCTTCAAAAAAGTATATATAAAACATTCTCGTATCTATTTTTATACTTCTAGACCATAAAATATATAGAAATATTGAGAAACAATATCCTAGGCACTTATGTTAATTTATACTGATTACTAATAACATGACACATCAATTAATTAATAATTCATTTAATTTCTAAAATTTAGCATGAACCCATTCAGTGATTAATTAATATGCCACGTCATTAACGATTAGCTTAGATGATAATTTAACTACAAATATTTATTTCCTCCATCTCATTTATATAAGTCGATTTTGTTTTTCACATTAATTAAGAAATCTTATTTAATGGTATTGATAAAATAATTGTTGCCAGAAACTTTTCTAATTTATCATTATTTAATGGGTTATTGGCACAAAACGTCCCTACATATGACGGATTGTGTGGAAAACGTCCCTACGTTTGATTTTTTGGTGCAGAACATCTTATGTCCATGTTTGGTAAATATTAGCATGCAAGCCCATTTTGTATCACGCGTTCGATTAAAAAATGTTATTTTTCATAAAATATATCTTCAAAAAAGTATGTATAAAACATTCTCGTATCTATTTTTATACTTCTAGACCATAAAATATATAGGGCCTGTTTGGTACAAATTCTCATTTTCTACAATAAATCAATTCTCATTTTCAAACACACATTCTTCAATAAAATAATATTTTCCATCAACATCAATTCCTTTTTCTTCTTTTTCAACCACACATTTCCCATCATATCACTATTCAAAAATCAATTCTTCCCCCAAAAATCTACAGTAAATCAATTCTCATTTTCAACCACACATTTTTCAATAAAATAATATTTTCCATCACATCAATACTTTTTTCTTCTTTTTCAACCACACATTTCCCATCATATCACTATTCAAAAATCAATTTTTCCTCCAAAAATCTCTACCAAACACACTCATAGAAATATTGAGAAACAATATCCTAGGCACTTACGCTTAATTTATACTGATTACTAATAACATGACACATCAATTAATTAATAATTCATTTAATTTCTAAAATTTAGCATGAACCCATTCAGTGATTAATTAATATGCCACGTCATTAATGATTAGCTTGTACTAAGTACCAATGCTTAGATGATAATTTAACTACAAATATTTATTTCCTCCATCTCATTTATATAGGTCGATTTTGTTTTTCACATTAATTAAGAAATCTTATTTAATGGTATTGATAAAATAATTGTTGCCAGAAACTTTTCTAATTTATCATTATTTAATTATCAATAACTAGTAGTAAACTATTGTTGAAAGTAGTAAAGAAATTTAATGATTTAATTTTCAATTTTCACATTGGTTATAACTAGACAAATTAAATAAAAGTATATTAGTTAACGAACAAACCAAAACATTCTCGGTGAAAAAAAAAATCTGGAGTTTACAGATCTAGTTTGAAGAGATATTACCAAGCAATACTACTGTTGAAGTTGTAAATGCGTTAACTTTAGATAACGTCAAGTGTGAGGTTTTATAGAACCTATTTGAGCCTCATTTTTGGCACAAAAAAAAAATTTGGAATAGTAAATTAATGGAGAATGTGTAATTAAAAAATATAAAAAATAATTTGAAATTGTATATAATATTATTATTTTATTGAAAATGTGCTATTAAAAAAAGAAAGAAATGTATTCTGTCAAACATTGTCAAGTTTGATTCGTGTTAGT